CATTTCCTCCTTAGTCCTGAATGTGGCATGTACTCCAGGGAGAAGTTCAGGGGACTGGCAAGTGCTCTGGTGAGTGATAGCAGCCTCAGCTTCCTCGTGCAGGTCTCTGTTCCCTGGTACCCAAAGGCTTCCAGCAGCTCTTACAGTAAAATCCCAACTTCTCACATGACCCTGAAGGGCCCTGAGGACCTCTGCTGTGGCCTCATTGCTATCCTCACACACCCAGCTGCTTCCTGCATTGGGGCCTTTGCTGTTCGCTTTGCCCAGAACACTGCAGCCTGACCTTAGCGTTCCAGGTGCTACCCAGACATCCCTCCTCTGAACCCTGCCCCCTCTAGAGCTCTCTCACTCATACCCTTTCTGAAACATTGTCCCTGCTACCTTCTTGGTAACTTTCATCAATACTTAAAATTCTTGGATTTTGTTTTGTTTTATTTCCCCAACTTGAACACAAGCTTCTGGAAGCCTGGCCTGTGTTATTTGCTCACTGCTGTATCCCAGTGCCCAGAACAGTTTCTGGCACACAGCAGGCACTCAATAAGTATTTGTCAAATGAATGAATACATTTCAGGTCATGGGAGAGGGTGGCATCTGTCCCAGGCTGAGCTCTGGCCAAGGATCCCTACCCAGGGGTCTCTTGTCTCTCATTGCTGCAGGCCCTGGGGCCTCATCTGTTTTCCTCCTTTTTGTAGCTGCCACCCCCATTGGCCCCCAGCCGCCCTCCATGCACACACAAGCCCCTCCTTTTCACTGTCCCTGAGAAGACTCTAGGGTGGACCTGGCTAAGGTTGCTGCTCCCACCCTTGCCTGCTCAGGCAAGGGTGGGAGTAGCAACCTTAGCCTGCTCACTTCTAGCAGGCCACCTTGGCTGACCTGGACAGCCAGTGCCCTCCTGCGAGAGACAGAGGCCATCTGGCCAGCCCCAGGGCACACTGGAAATGGGGTTTCCACTTTAAGGCCTGAGCTTTCTGCACAGCTCTGTCTGCACTTCCTGGTGACCAAGAGTCCATCAGAAGTCTGCTAGTAAATGAAAGAGGTAGTCTAACTGAATTATTACACAAGGGCAACTAGGCTACCTCTTGTGCTGGTGGGAAAGCTTTAATTGGGTATAGTGGAGGGAGCCTCTGGAAAACTAGGGCTGAATGGGGTTCGAGATGTGGCAGGGCCTGTGAAGCTGATGAGCTCTGTACCTGCAGCCCCAGGAGCCACCACAACCAAGGTGCATCTTCCCTGGCAGAGTAGCTGCCATGCCTATCCTCAGCAGCCCCTGAGGCAGCAGTGATAGGCTCCCCACCCCGATTCCTTCATGGTTAATACCTTCTCTAAACAGCCTTGAGCTGGATGGCAAGGACCAGGGATGGACAGTAGGGGGCTGGGAACAGAAGCCTCAGCCATCCATTAGCTTACTTCTCCTAGCATACAAACTATAATGGCAGTGAGGATGGGCACTAGAGAGGGGAAGGTGGCATGTGTGGTTTTCTGGGAGAGGAAAGTGAGGGAGCCTTTCTTCCAGAGGAAGTGACCTTGGAACTGGGCCCTGGAGAGAAAGTAGGAAAGTGCTGGCCAAGGAGGAAGGAAGGGCATCAGACAGACCTGGAGATGAGAAGCTAGGGCCTAGCTCCATGAGTGTTTCCACACAGGTGACTGGAGAGTTGACTGAGGCCAGAATGGAAGGCTCAGCGATGCTAGCCCATCCTGAAACACCCTTGGGAGCCAGGCAGACAATGGAAATAGGAGAATCAGACCCAGGATGGGGCAATAGAGAATGGTGGTGACTGGCAAACTAGAGAGCTCTCGTACCCTATGGAAAAGAGCATAGGTCATTTGGCATTAAGCGTGTACTGCTTGGTGTTGTCTTTGGTAAACAAGCATAGGATTCATGTAAGAGAAAAAGAAAATTTACTCTAGTGGCCTAAGAAATGGGGTGGGGAGAGCCTAGGGTCATGCTGTGCCTTAATTTAGGCAAGAGGCCTAACAGGGACACCAAGTTGAGGCAGACAGATCTCAGGTGCTGACCACAATGGCAGAGGTCACATCCTGAGCTCTGGAGGCCAGATGCAGGGAAAGCCAGCTCTAACTGCCAGGCAGCTTCCTGTAGCCCTTAAGTCTTTTAAGGGCCTAGTAGGGCCTGAATTTACCCCCACTCATGGCTTTAGGGTGTCCTTGCTTATAGGGTGCCCCCTGGGTCACCTGAAAATGCTTCCCCCACACCGTAGGGGGAGGCCATACCAGCATGGCATGACGGAGGCCCTGGAGAAGTAAGCTATGTCCCTTATTGGTCACAGTACATTTATTTTTCATTAGCAGTTAAATGCAGACATGAGGGATTGTGCTAGGTTCAGTGGGCAGCTGACGCGAGCAGTGCTTCGTTGCTGATCAATAAGGAGGCTGGAGGGCCATGTACCCACTCCCTGCCCCTACACCCCCAGCCAGGGTGCCCTGCCCACCCAGCTCTCAAGCCAAAAGGCAGGCTCGGGCCATGGCATTGAGCCTCTGTTCGTTAAGAGACATAGCACAGGCAGACTCAGCCCCTAGGGGCTCTCAGTGACACCTGTCCCACCCCTACTCTCCTACAAGGCCCCTGCTCCAGGGTCAAGTTTGACTGGTCCTTCAAGTGGCCCTTGACCAGGACCACCAAGATGCTGTGATATGTCTGGTGTATGTCTAGAGAGGTCACGGGGTCTCAGTGCCCACTCCGTACCCACACCCACAGCAGCACTCCCCAGCCTGGGACAGGGCAGGCAAGTGGCTGCTAAATGAATGACACACAAATGGGTAGTGACGCTGCCCACACTGGGCATTCAGTGAGTCCACCTTGGGGGCTGAGAGCCCTGAGGCCACAGGTTCCCATCTGAGAGGTGTCCCTAAGGCTCTTGCCCCTAACTGCATCCCACCTTCCTGAGCCTGCAACAGACCCCTGGCGGGGGGCAGGGGAGATAGGCACTGGCAGGCCCAGTGAAGGTGGTTCAGGGCAGAGTACATCTGGGTGACTTCATTTTCTCAACTGCAAGGGGGTTTCCAATTATGAATGAAGGTTTGGCGTTTGTCACAGAGCTTCAGGAACACCCAGGGTGCAGCTGCCCAAGGAAGATCACAAGAGGGAGAAAGATAAACAGGGCAGAGCCAAAGTCTGGCTAGGTTGGCAGGAGAAGGGGCAGGGAGGCCAGGAGGGGCTGGCTGAGAGGAGAGGCAGGTGCCTGGAGGAGGCGAGAGCCCCACTGCTGGGCAGACACTTCTGCTGTGTCAGAAGCACCTTCTACCCCTACATGGGTGTCTGCCAGCCCTGTGCCTCAGTTTCCTTATTGGCACTTACCTGTGAAGAGGTTGTTGTGAGGGTTGCTGAGGTGGGGGGAAGGCTATAACCCCCTTCTCCAGCATGCGTGTCAAGCTATGGTGCTGACAGCGGCAGAGCCTCTGAGTGCTGTGCTAGGTGCTGTGTGCCTTTTGTTTCCATCCTCATGACAACCCCAAGAATGGAGCACTGTCTCCTCTTTTGCAGGTGAGCAGAATAGGCTCAGGGCAGGTGGACTTGCCTAAAGTCACACCAGGCTCTCAACCTCTTGCAGACATTCCCAGCTCACCACTCCATGCCTGCCCTAAAGGACCCAGTGCAGACACACCCCGTCAAAATCAGTCTCAGGGCTGGGTACAGTGGCTCATGCCTATAATCCTAGCACCCTGGGAGGCCAAAGCAGGTGGATCACCTGATCTCAGGAGTTTGAGACCAACCTGAGCGAGACCTATCTCTACTAAAAATAGAAAAACTAACCAGATGTCATGGCAGGTACCTACAGTCCCAACTACTCAGGAGGCTAAGGCAGGAGGCTCTCTGGAGCCCAGGAGTTTAAAGTTGCTGTGAGCTATGATGCTATAGCACTCTACCAAGGGGGACAGAGTGAGACTCTGTCTAAAAAAAAAAAAAAATCACTGTCTTGAGGTGGGGGTATGGACTCCTACCTTGGGAAGAGAGGGTCCTTGTGCAAGCAAGAGAGAAGGGGCGACTAGCCCTAGGCATAGGTACTCCCTAGGGCAGAGTGTGCAGGGCCAAGGAGCCAGTCCTCCTGTGTGAGCTCTTTGTGGGTTCTCAGTTCCCTCACAGGACAGATGTGATCTCTATTTCGCAGATGACAAGGCCTGTAACTCCCCAAGGTCACCTCTAAGGAGGAGGAAAATGGGTCTGGAGACCCAAAGAGGTTTTTTTTCTTTGTGCCCAGAAGCCCCATTAATTATGAATGTGGTTGGTGGGGGAGTGATTGTACCTGTGTTGGCAGGTCAGCCTGGGTGGGGGCCTGTTTGTCCAGTAGCTGGGGGGACAGGAGCTGAGGGTGTCCCCCACTCCCACCTAACCCCCACCCTCTCAGGGCTCCTGCTGGTTAGGCAGAGGGTCAGACTGCTCTGGGGGTTTTATCTCCACCAATGCCTCAGAGCCAATTACCTGTGTAATTAGCAACAAATGACTTGTGGGATGGTTGTAGTTTTCAGTTAAAATTAGAAGGAAACCCATATTCAGGTCTCCTTGAAGGAGTGGGAAGTGGCCCAGGTTCCTCAGACTCTCCCAGCTCCCATCCTGCCTGTGCCTGCCCAGCTTATATCTCTGAGCACCTGCCATGTGAGGGCAGGAGTGGGGCAACCAGGAAGCAGAACCCTTCCCACCTCCCTGCAGCCCTGCCCTCCACTCCAGAGCTTCCACTGCTGCCACATAAGGAAGGCTTCCTAAGTGCAGGACTTCCATCCTCGTCTCATTCCCTTTCGCTGAAGTCTTCAGAAGCAATGGACTGCTTCTTCCCCCATGGTACAGAGGAGGACACTGAGACTCAGGAGGGCATCCAGTAGCTGGGATTGCCCCGCTGGGAACTGTAAGAACCTGGACTCCCTCCCCTCCCATAGGTTCCAACCCCCTTTTGCTGCTCCTGCGGTCTCTGGGTTGCCCAACCTGGCCCCTGAAGAGGCAGACCAGCCCCAGAGAGGGCCTGCTCACCTCCCCCTCTGCCCTGCTGCAGGTGCCCAACAGAGTGCCACAGTGGCCAACCCGGTGCCTGGTGCCAACCCTGACCTGCTTCCCCACTTCCTGGTGGAACCTGGGGATGTGTACATCGTCAAGAACAAGCCAGTGCTGCTGGTGTGCAAGGCCATGCCAGCCACACAGATCTTCTTCAAGTGCAACGGGGAGTGGGTGCGCCAGGTGGACCACGTGATTGAACGCAGCACAGACAGGAGCAGCGGTGAGGCCAGCTGGGCACGGGCAGGGGCAGTAGGAGAGGGGGGAAGCAACTCTCAGTTGGCCCAGAGGGGCCTGTGGTTACCCTGTGCTACAGGGTCAGGATAGACCCCACTCTGTGCCCACAACACACTGTGTCATGAGGTGAAGAAGCAGGATTTCCACACCTGGGACCCCATGTTTCTACACAGAGGCCTTCTGCAGCAGCCCTACCCCTAACCAGTCTGATGAGGGAATAAGAGGGAAGTCTTCCTCCTAAAAACATGTGCCAAGGGCTCATAGCAAGAGGTGGCACAGCTAAGGTGGGCAAGGCTGGGGGCAGCCAGCAAGAGGTGTCAACAAAGAAGGGGTGGGGAGGGAGTGATCCCAGAGTGTCACAGACTCACAGGCCTCACAGTGAGGGGCTATTTGTGCATCCATGTATCCGTTCATTCCTGCATTCGTTCACACACTCCCTGAGCACCCACTCCAATGCTGGGGACACAGCCCCCAGAGAGAGGCAGGCAGCTTTGTGGGCTCTCTCAGCAATAGGAGAGCAGGATGGAGGCTGCTTGGGGCACCCAGAAAGGCTCCCCAGGCAAGGTAATGCATAAGACTTGGTCAGGGAGAGGAGAGGGGAGGGTACCCCAGAGAGGGGCAGGGCACAAGCAAAGGCCTAGAGGCAGAAGTCAGCATGCTGGTCATGGGTCAGCATGAGAGTGTGAGGGGTGCGAGAGACTAAAGTGATGTCACTGTCTTATGGGATTTCAAGCTGTAGAATGACATGGCCAGAGCTGTGAGTGATAGTCAGGGGCCAGTGTGGTGGTTGATGGGTAGGGTAGATCCAGAGACAGTAAGGAGAGGGAACACATAAGTCTTGGCTGAGGGGTGCAGGAAGGAGTTCAGGGAAAGAAGACAGACCCAGAAAGCCCCCTATGGGACACCATATTCCCCACCTTACCCCTGGCCTTAGGTAACAAGCGAGCAATGGGGATGTGAGCTTGGGTGCCACCACTCCCCATGAGCAGGCCCACAGAGAGAGGCAGGAGCTGACAACAGCCCCTCCTCCCCTCCTTGCTAATTAGAGCCCAATTCAGCACATTTCCTCTCCCCTCTTCTCAGCACTTTGGGGAGCACCCACATTGTCCTGGTGGGAAGGTCTGCTGTAGAACCTCAGGCAAGTCCCCTCTCCTCCCCTGGGCTCAGTTTCTTCATCTGTAAAATGGGAATGAGAAAAGCATGCTTGCAGGTTACTGGGGAGAAGTCATACCCAGTCCAGGCACAGTACAAGGCCTTTCTCTTCCTACCCCAGGGCCTAGCTCTACTTTGCAGCATAAGTTCTCCTGACTGCTGTGGCAGGTCGCCCAGAAAAAGGACAGGTGACAGGGAAGCTTCAGCCAGAGAGCTGTTTTCCTGAAGCCCTGAAGACCTTTTCTATAACCTGCTAGAAGGCTCCGGCCCCATGCACACCCTCCTGTCTGAAACACTCCAACCATGGCTTGGCCAGCTCCTGGGCCCTTACCTGAATGAGCAGTCATAGGCCCAAGCCAGCATACACACTTGAGAGCGCCAAAACCCCACTCCCTGACAAGGTCCCATGGCCTTGTTCTGTTCAAGCCACACAGAGAGGCAGAGCTTGGGACACATCTCACCTGTTAGCACTGGAGCCTTCTCCAGCCCTGAGCATCTACCTTCAGGCCTCCCATGACCAGAACATCTGAATTTTCATTGATCTCATTGATTTCTCAGCCCAAAGCCGTTAAGTACTTTGAAGCAAAGAGACTTTGCTTACTTACCCCAACTGGATACTAAAGTGGTGGTGCTATACGTGTATACAGACCAAAGACCCTAAGCCAGGCACATTCTGTGGTCAGACAGGTTCGACAGAGGTTGGAGGTCCACCCAGATCTGTAGCTCCCCAATTTGTGGGGGGTGGGGTGGGGGCAGAGGTCACTGGGTGGACACTCCAGGAGAGAATGCCCATCTCCCTCTCATTTGCCTTCATTCCTCATCCAGAAGGCCAGGGGAAAGGGACCAAAGCCTGAAAATGCTGGAACCTGAATGTTGATGCTATGAAAGCCTGAAATTGCCAAACCAAGCACTGGAGTCCAGTCTGGGAGTATAATTTATTTTGTGTTAAACAAACTGATTGGTTATTAGAAGCAGAGTGCTGAGAAGGTGAGAACCTAAGTCCCAACTTGGCCTCAGAGCACCCAGCCAACTCTCCACCTCCCAGAAACACTCAGCAGCCCAAGTTCACACATATATGTGCCCCAGCCAGCCTGCCTGGGGTCCCTCCCCAAAGCGGCTCTTGCTTACTTTATGGGGTGGGTAAAGACACAGCTGTACCCTGACACTGCTTCTAGGAGCCAAGCTGCTAAGTGATGTGCAGGGGAGCAGGGCACAGTCCTATACATCAAGGACCTGGCAGGCAGAATTGGGGTCTCTGACCTCAGCCCACGGCCTTCCTGGGGTTTTGGGGCTCAGGCACATCCTTTGTCACAGTGCTGTCTGGAGCTAGGACATTGAGGACAAACTTGGCCCTCATTCATGGCAATGGGAAAGAGAAAAGGAGGTGGCAGGACAGAAGGGGAGGGAGAACAAAGGGAGAGAGAAAGGGAGTGCTTAAATTTAGTCCTGTTCTCAGTGATGTGTGAGGTTCCTGAAAAAGGGCCAAACTCCCCCAACCACCGTGGGAGTTGGAGAAGCCATCAATAGACCTCTCCAAGCTTGGAGCTAATCCTAGCACTCTGGGAGGCTGAGGTGGAAGCATCTCTTGAACTCAAGATATCAAGATAAGTCTGACCAAGAGTGAGACCCCATCTCTACAAAAACTAGAAAAATTAGCCCTGCTTTGTGGCATATGCCTGTAGTCCCAGCTACTTGAGAGGATGAGGCAGGAGGATTACTTGAGCCATAAGAATTTGAGGTTGCTGTGAGCTATGATGCCATGACACTCTATCCAAGGTGACAGAGTGAGACTCTCTCTTAAAAAAAAAGACATGTCTAGTTCAGAATGTTTCAGAGGTCTCCCATCCCTAATATCAGGGACAAAGAAGAGAAAGAAGAGTGAGGGCCCTGTCCCACCCATGACTCCTTGTCAGATGCCCAAAGACTCTATGTGCCTGACAGATAGCGGGTGCCTGGGGCCCTCCTATACACAGACCTTGTGGGGGAGCCCTTTGTTCTCAGCCCCTACCCTACCCCCAGAGTGTGCACATTGGGTGCCTTAGAGAACAGGGGCTGGCAGTGCTGGAACAAAGGGAAGTGGCCCAGCTATAGTAGCCTCAGCCAGAGGTGACACCCCCACCATCTCCTGTGCAAATTGGCCAGGGCAGAAGTGAGTAATAGAAAAACCTGGGGGAGGCTCAGAGCCTATAGCTCAACTGGCTAAGGCACCAGCCACGTACACCTAAGGTGGCGGGTTCGAATCCCCAGCCCGGACCCGCCAAAACAACAATGACGGCTGCAACCAAAAAATAG